CCCRGCCCCTTTGGGAGCTTCCTCGATGGCTGCCTGCACTGCAGGAGCGTTTCTTCCCTCCTGGCTCTCCCTTGGAGCCAACCAGCTAATTGCCTCTGAAACCGAGCGTGGGTGTTCATGAGGGATTCTTTGCTGCTGGAGCTGTCAGCAAGAGGAGCAGCGTGCYAGGTTTGCTGCCTCCACCTTCAGCAGCTCTCCCACTCCCCTTCGCAGGCTTGGCGCTTGTCGCGTGTCCCTSGTGTTGGCACGTCCGGCAAAGCCACCGCTCGAGTGGGCTGCAGCTCGCAGCTTTCATTATTTAGGGTACTTCTGAACCGAGGGAAAAACCCCAAAYAGTAAGACCACTAAAAACCAACCTGCTTAAGGCCACAGGTGCTTGAGAGGGACCTCAAAAATACATCCAAGCTCTGCAMATTGTATCTAGGGACAATCTATTCTCCCAAGGGGCAAGCCTTCAGGAATGAGACCTAATAAATTTGCCATGCAGATGTCTGAAATTTTGCCATTTGAATCCCACGCATTGCGTTTCAAACTGATAAAACCCCTGCAAAATTTCACCCACGAGCAGGTTCTGTTCTTCTGAGTGGGACGGTACACAGGGTACAGACAGAATAATTGAAGATATGTATGTCATTTGTTTCTATGGCCAGCAAATATTTATGGTTCTTGATGGAATTTATTGCCACAAATGATTTCCACTCACATTTGGTCCTGCCTCAGATGTAAAARATTAAACTGTTGCACGATTTAATCAGAGGATTTGCTTAAGACATCTGTGTATATATTGACAAGTCTTTTGTTTCTTCTTTGGAAGCAACAGACTGCTTGGCAGGGCAATGGGATTCCTTAATTTTTGCTTATGAAAAAAGCTAATATGTTTCTGTACTTTAATTGGCTGCTAAAAAGGAAGGAGATTAAAAAGGGGGAAAACAGCTATTGATTTAAAAAATGTGGAAATATGGAAAACCTCCTACTTTTCTTTAAAATGTAAGCAAAAGGAAAGGGAGGGGTTGGGCTTTTTAAATTAGTGCACTGAAATTAGGATTGGTCTGGAAAGAATTTAATGATTTGTGTGTAAGTTTGGGCTAGAAAAACCAAACGTTTTCCAGACTTAGAATTTTAGACCTACTGGTCTGTTAGCCTTCTGCACATTTTGATTTAAATTTTATATATTATGATTTCAGATTTCTAGGACAGATTTTAAATGACAGTCCTTTAAAAGTATATCACATATATACCACAGGTTATTAAGGGATTATCAGATGACTATCACAGATGGTCTCRAGGGAGAAAAAAACCTAGAAAGAAGTGGTCTCCAGAGATAAGTTTCTGCAGATTGCTGTCATATTGGTCTGAAGGAAACATCAGYCCTTATCCTTAAGTGTGAAGTACCTGGGAAAAAAATCAGACTTTCAAATGYGTCCTACTTTTCCTGACAAAGAAATGGCATTGCTTTAAGATTTTCTTTACTCTGTGGTTATCTCATGCGGGCGAAAAGTCAGACATCACTCTGAATAACAGTTTCTGGATATCCATTACCCTTCTGGAGTAGCTGAAATCAGTGTCTGACCAGTGCTTGTGATAAAGTCTTGCTGAAGATTGTTTTTTTTTCTTACAATCTAATGCCAATTTCAGTTGTGTGTCAGAAAGTGAAGCTTTTACATTGAGGGTTACTTCAAGATAYTCAGTCTGCTGTTTTATAAGTGGCATTGTAACTCTCCAGATACTGTCATCTCTTTATGTTGTGGAATATGGATTTGTTGATGTTTGGGAAGCACAGTCATGGTGTCTGGTTGGATGAGCCCTTGCCCGAGGGAGATAGAACATTCATGGTGATAGGCAGAAACGCAGATTGTCTGAACCCATTTTTTGGCTCCTCCTGGGCAGCCTTGGGGAGGTCAGTGTGAACTCCATATCCAGAGCTGTGTACCATGGGCTGTAATAGCTCCTCTGCTCCTCTCTCCTCCCTCTGGGAAAGGAGCAGCTCCTCAGCCTGTTGGTACAGCAGCCACAGGGACCTGCTCTCAGTCACAATAGAGATTCACACAACACAGGGGAGGAAATCCAAATCATGATTCCACAGTCAGGTTCRCTCTGAGTAAATAAAATTACAAAGTTAAGAGGGGGGAAAACTCCTTCAAATAAGGATTGTTTTTCCCAAAGCATCTATAGAGTTTATTTGAGAAGTCTTACATGGAAACACTATGGAACAGGCTGAAAACTACCTGGAAAGCTATAAACAAAGAAGGCTATCAATGTACGTATGGAATGACTCCTCCAGGAAGACATTTTGTTGTCCTGAGCGTGTCCAAAACGCACCACCGACATTTGTGAGTTACACATTGCGGGGATGCTCCCGGTCCGAGAGATGTGTTGGATTTTCATCTCTATTCACTGTCCGTGAATCTTATTCTAAGGCAGCTGTTGAAGCACCCTGTAGGGTGTTTAGGAGGTGTTAGGAACAGACCTCTCTAATGTATTCTTTACTGGATGGAAATAGGCTGTTGCCTCCTAAGGAGCCAGGGACCAAGTGTGAAGTTTGAGAAGCTATTCAAAAACGTTGTCTTCAAATGGGAGCCTCAGGTGTGATCTCTGCCACAAAAGTAGCATTTATGTAGTGCTTCTAAATTTAAAGAACTGTATAAAAGCTTGATCTCTTTCTATTTATTCTTTTTTTTTTTTTAAGTGAAACTGCATTAGTAAGTAACTGGGGTTTTTATTTCATTTTCATGTGTTTATCGATAGTTTGGAGTCAGTGGGAAGGCAGTTTATCGTCTTTAAGATTTTAAGAACCCGAATGTAAGCTGCAGTGGCTCTTGGATATTGCACTCTGCTGAAAAAGAACCTCATTCACGTGGTTCATTATAGAGATTTTTTTTYCTTCCCTGTCAACTCTGTGCAGAARGAAGTCTTGCTGAATAGTGCCACAATGGCCACCCTGCAATTCCTCTGCTTAATGAGCTACTTGTCACACCAATAGATTTCAGAATAACTGGGCACAGATGTGCAGGTATCTG